TCACAAGGCTCTCTGCGAGATGCTTGAGCGCAAGGGCGTTCTTCATCGGAAGAAGCAGCGTACTGATGGTACGGCTTAAGCCGACCAAACGTAAAACGTGGGATGCGTTCGCATCTTACGTGGCAACTCGATCGTGTATGCATTGCCTAGGCGGTGCAATACACGAAATGGGCCGATGTACTTGGGTAGTAGTTTACTGCTACCCAAGTTAGTCACTACATGTTTTGGTAGATTAACCGTAGACATTAGGACTAAGTCACCTTTACTAAATAAAAGAGTGTTTGCCCTTCCATTCTTATCAGCGTTTTGCTTTTGCTTATCCACCGCTTCGGCGATGGAGTCTTGCACAAAACGGACTACCGTTTCACGGGCCAGTATGAACTCATCTGATGACTCGTTAGCTTCAGTGCGCTGTGAGCGCACTGCAGCAACATCAACCTTTTCTTCAGTGAAGGCTTCCGCACTCTCACTGGCATCATCTTCTTCGATATCGATGTTATCGATATCGGCATCAGACGCAATGACCTCTTCGTCAGAGCGTGATGAGCGTGAACCAAATCGGTTGTTGCTCGCGCGAGTCCCTCCCCCCCTTAAACCAGAGTTACACTCTAGTAAGGTGGGTACACGCGGATGGCGCAAGCCATTCACGTAAAACGGTGTATGGGTCGTGGACGCATGCACCGAGTTGTTAATGTCAAACTCTACCATAGGCAAAAACTCACTCCAACTCTTAATAGGAGTGTATGTATCCTAGAAGTATCGCTTCAAGGACACGATTGGCACGTTCCGTCTGACCATCTGACTCTGGATGATCAGATGTTGACATCTTCAAGCGCGTTCCGAGTGATTTGAACACGGAACGCCAGAAATCAGCAGTGAATCGTGGATCTCTGTCTGATACGAGTTCACGGGGCAACCCATGAAGTCGGAAGATGGTGTCAATAAAGACACAAGCACAGCCACTTGCCGTGATTGTCTCTGGTACAGCCACTAGGTGTACCATTTTGCTGAATCTGTCAACAAATACAAGAATACCCGTATTCCCGCGTGCGTCTTTGGGTAACCCGAAGACAAAATCCATTGAGATGGATTCCCGGCACTCAGCCGGAACCGGTAGAGGCTGTAAAGGTGCACGCAGTGAAGGACTTGACTTCACTCGTTGGCAGACTTCGCATGCGCGAACATACTTTCGCACAAACTGATACTGGCGGGGCCAGTAAAAGTCTCGACTTACCGTGAGATATGTTTTCTCTCGGCCACGATGTCCTCCTATAGGAGCATCGTGATACTCGAACATGATCCGCAAACGCAGATCAGTATCATCTGGAATGACAACACGTGGTGTGTCACCAGAAACGGCTGTATAATACAGTAAACCGTTACGAGTAGTGTATCGATCTGATGCAGATCGATACGCAGACGACAATCGTTTCAACGATTCTCGAGATGGTTGGGAGAGATGTGTCAACAACTTCACAATCTCACCATCTTGGGCATACGCCCGCCTCACATCATCATACAACGTTGTAGATGGGACTGAGGACGTCATAACCGCAACAGTGACTGTCTCACTGTTGGGTTTCACGACTGGTTCAAAGTCGGGACGACGTGAGAGTGCATCAGCGACGACATTAAGTCGTCCTGGTTTGTACTCGACCGTAAACTTGTATTCTGCAAAGAATGACAACCACCGCGCCATTCGTTGAGAAAGGTGCGGGCTGTTCACTGCCGTGCGTAACGACGCATGGTCAGTGTAAACAATGAAGGGTCTATCTCCTAATAGACAGACTCTGAACTTCGCGAGTGCATACTTCATGGCAAGGAGTTCCTTGTCATGCCCTGGATAGTTCCGCTCAGCTGGTTGCAGCTGACGCGACTGATAGCAGACGACGCGTTCAACGCCTTCTAGGTCGTACTGCATTAATGCACAGCCGATTGCGAAATCGCTGGCATCACAGACCACATGAAATGGCCTGTCCTGATCGGCTATTGCTAGGACTGGGGATTGTATCGAGCTCTGCTTGATACCCTCAAAGGAGCGTTGACATTTAGCGTTCCATAACCACCTCTCGTTCTTTTTCAACAAACGAGAGAGGTGCACAGTCATCTCGGCGTAATTGCGTGAATACTTATGCAAATACGCCGCTAGCCCAAGGAATTTTCGAAGACCTTTGACATCAACCGGCACAGGCCAGTCGGTGATCGCCTTGATCTTTTCGGGATCAGGACGTACTCCGTTCTTACCAACGATGCACCTAAGAAGTGGTATTTCGCTTGCGGCAAATATACACTTCTTGAGGTTTGCATACAATTGATGCTTTCGCATGATTGTAAGAACCTGTCGGACGTGGTACCTGTGAACCTCAACGTCCGACTTTCCATCCATAGCTCGACTATGGATGAATACGTCATCGAAATAACTCGGCGCGAACTCGCGTACTGGTCTCAACAGATGTGATACACATCTGTTGAACGTGGCAGGGGCATTACTAAGCCCTTGTGGCATTACTAGCCATTCACAGAGCATGCCGCTAGGCGTGCTAACTGCGGATTAGGGTATATCCCGTTCTCGCATAAGGATTTGATAGAAGCCATCCATCAAATCCATGGACGAAAAGATGGTACTCTTTGATATACCATCAATGATTACGTCCTTCCTCGGTATCGGCGTCTGAGCCGGTACCGTTGCAGCATTCAATTTATTGAACGCGTGCACTATCCGCCACCCTCCTGTTGCTTTTCGCACACAGAAGGTCGGAGAGCTATGTGGGGAAGTTGATTCCCTCACATGGCCCGCAGCTAAACGATCGGCAAAGAACTTGTCGATTGCAAGTACTTGTTCACGAGGCAGTGGCCACTGCTTCATGACACAGTACTTCGAGCCTGGTTTAAGCTCGACCTCGTGTCGAATACCTTTATCCTTCGGTAATTCGCACGGAACAGTTTCAGGGAATACATCCTTGAATTCAACCAAATCTTCATAGAGAGGATTTTTCTTGAGCGATTCCCATGATTGGGAGTCACATCGCTCAACTCGTGTCTTTTCATCTAGGACACTCTCGTCCATAGATGAACTACTGAGAACTCTCTCGTTCTCAGTAAACACTGTTGCTGACCTTATGTCGGTTACACACTCGTCGTCAGCGACGAGTACACAGATCTGCTTGACTTTGCCACTACGCAGATCACGCAAGAACCTTTTATGTTCGAGCGTTGGCAACTGAGTGATCTCCGAAGTTAACTTCGGAGGCGCAATCAGATCAAGTGTATAAGCGCCTACACTTGATACGTTATTGACTAGGACATTTAATGTCTCTGTCATTTCCTGGGGACTTATTCCCTCAGGCTTCGAAGGACTTATTACTTCGGCTTCCCGGGGACTTATTCCCGCGGGTTTCGGGGAACTTATTTCCGCCGTATTTGTAATCTTGGGACTTATTCCCTTTACTTCCTCTAGCTGGGGTTGCGCAACCACAGCGAGATCCTCTACGAAAGACTCTCCAGTCGATCTAGGATTATCGTTTCGCATAACCTGAGCGATCGATTGTTTCTCTTCTAGATGTTCCCCGCTAGAGATACATCTTTGTCCCAGTCCACCCGACTTATTCGAGTGGTGGACCTTCGGCGCAGCCTGTGATTCCTCACAGCCGCCGAAACTTTGCTCCGAAGTGTAACCGTTTAGTACACTAAGGTTTTGTGCAGTCGTAATAACGACCGTACCACAAGTGAGGCCATCGCACTCACTCGTAGTACATCCACACGCTTTGTGGACGCTCCAAAACGTTCATCAGATGACCATCTGATGAACAAGCGGCAGGCATCGTTGCTGTTCGATGTTGCCAGTTTACCCGTGGTTCGTACCTTCTGAGCCACGGTATTCCAAGGATGACATCAAATTTTTCATCCAAATCCAATACGATAAAGTCATCGTCATATTGGGTATCTTCTAGCGTATAGTGGATCTTCACTATACGCTTCATGACGGTTACGGATGCGCCTGTCGCAAGACGTACCGTCATCCTCGTAGGAGGTGTGTCACATTCACTGAATTTAAAGTGACCATCTTCTAGCGATTGGCGTCGCACAAAATTGTTGGACGCCCCACAATCGACTAGAGCTCGAAGGGACAACTTATTCGTCACTTCGAGTTTCAAGGTAATGAGTGAGACCTCATTACCTAGAGCAGCAACGCACAACGTTTGTGTGTTGGGAGCAACCTTCATCAAGAGGCCTACAAATTCTCTTGACGTTGCTGGACCAGTAGGGTGCTCCGCACCTACTGATCCTGTCCGTTTTTTGACGGTCCATCCCGTTGTTGCGTCTTTGCACCAACAGCGGACCCTCGTCCCTGCCCCCTTTCTCATGGGTGGACGGTCACTACGCCCAGTGTCGCGAGACACCGGACGAGGGGCACTACACTCGTAAGCGTATTGTCCTGTCTTTTGACATCTGTTGCATCTCTGCAACTTCTTGTAGCCTGTAGAGCGAGCCTTCTCGCTCTCTACATAACAGAGTTCCATCGGCTCTGGACCTCCGTTGTCATATCGTCTCGGTTGACGATATGATGTCGAGCTGGCGCGAGCCTGTCTCAGACTGAAGTCTTCCTGCTCCGCAATGGAAATGGCTTGTTCTAGTGAATCTAGTTCAAGCCGGAACAGGTGAGTCTTGACGGGACCATCCGCAAGACCCTGCATGAACACCGAAACCAACGTGTGTTCATCCACCGGATTGGAACTTATACAACTCGTGAGATGTCGTATATGTTAAGCGTAAGCGCGCACATCGCGCTTACCCTGCTTGAGCTTCAAGAGTTCGGTTCGAGCTCTGAACTCAGCTCTAGGCGGTTCAAACGTTTGTCTGAGCCGCGACTTGAAGACTTCCAACGACCCAAACGCATATGGGTCGTGCAACTTGAGCCCCAGTGCCCAAGTCTTGGCACGTCCTGCCAGATTTGACTGGGCAAATGCAACTTGCATATCCCCGTCGTCGATGCGACGCGCCTATATGGCGTCATCCAATTCGACGAACCATCTCAAGAGGGAGTCCCCTTCGACTCCCCTATACTTGAAGATGTCAATCTTCAAGGTTTCGGGTCGACGCGAATGCATCGACCCACCAGCAGCAGCCTGCTGCTGTCTCAACAGTTCAAACTGTTGAGCACCCTGTTCTCTCAACAACTCTGCTTGTTGAGAACCTTGTTGGTGAAGCAAGGCTACTTTCTCGCGTTCTGCGTCAAGTTCATTTTGAATGAACTTGGCGATAGTAGCATGTTGGGCATCTCTATTGAGAGCCTCTAGCATGACGCTAACAGCATGGATGCCCATGGTCGAACCCATTCGTTCAACCGCATCCCATTCGACATCGCTCAAATGGGAGTAGCCGTCACGCGTAGCGTGAAAGCTTTGGTCATCTTCATCATCCAACATATTCATGTTAGATGTGAACGTGGTCCTTGGACGGACTACAAAGTGCTACCAGGTGTAACGGGGCACCCCTGAAGCTTGTACTGGTGACAGTACAAGCTACTTATTCTGATGACAGAATAGGGCGGTGCCTCGTAACTTCACGTACACTCGTGCGTGCAGAGGAAGACGGTAAGAAGAAGCGAGTACTTGGTTAGAGTAAAAAGTAGAACTGTATTTATAATAGTTAATATCTGCAATAAATCACTATTTATCTTCATCTAACTATGTCTGAATACAAATGTGTAAATCAACTATCTGCTCACCACTCATTGCGTGCGTCTGTCGTGGCGCGTCTTCGTTGGTTGATATAATGGCCTGTATCAACCAATTAGGAACTACTCGTAAGTGCTACAGAATATTTGTCCTTATGACAATATTCTGAGAATATAACTCTTATAGTTATATTCTATTAACAATTTCTTATAAATTGTTATGTAACGATTCACCCCGTTACACACGTGACCATGATCTCCCTCGAAAGGAGCAAATTTCATGGATGAAAACGTGCTTGTACCTTCTTCGGCGCCTCGCTGACGATACGTGTACACCATAGGACACCATCGTCCGCACGTAGCGGCACACGAAGATAGAGGCACGGGGCTTCGTAATGAGACCTTTGACCGATTGGCGATTGAAGCTCTGTCGAAAAGCTGAATGCATTTACAAAGCTGTTCAACAACTGACGCACTCGGTAACGATTCGATTGGTACAGATACAACCGCACGCATCTTTTGCGTACCACGATCAGTCAGTGATGATGCGAAGACCTTTGAGAGCTCGTGACACAGTTCTAGTGACTGGTATCGTGACCATCGCGATTGATCCTGTAAATTTCGTTTCGCCTCATTTCAACAAAACAAATGCAAGTGCAACCACGAGGGTATTGTCAGTAAAGCAACTGTCAAAGTGACATGACTGTCACGTATGTATCACGATCTTCTAATTTACACATGTTTGTTGTGCAAACACCTGGTGACAACGCGCGGCATTCTACAAGTTCCCCCAGTATTGGGGTGGGGAGGGAAGCAAGATCAGACAAGATTCTATCGACTTCGAGATATGCAGTAGATACATTAGCGACCCCGAAGGATGGACTGTACGCAAGGTGAATGCCGAGCCTTCAAACCCTACTTTCTGTTATTCTGTCTTGCGTCTGTGCGTCTTTGCGACTGTGTGTCTGTCTGTCTATCTGTGTATGTGGTGCTTGGATAACACGGGTGCATGTACACGTCGCACCACGTGCGATGCAGCATGTCCCTCCTCATTGGTAGATTTGCATTTTGGTGTCACTCTTAAACTAGGTCACGAACCGCGTTCAGTGTTCGTCACATACATGTACCAATGACGCACATGATCGGATTAAAGAGATAAGTGCGGGTGGATGGCGAAAAAGCAAATATTCGACACTTCATGACAGCAAAAGTGTCACACTTCAAACAGCACATGACAAGTGGTTTTCATCCAAAGCTATCTATGAAGTGGTATAATAAGAATCAATGTGAGCTCCCATCATCTCAGTAAGTGAGCAATTTTGACCCAGACCGACCCATGCGCATTAACGTGGTAGGTAACGTAAGAATAATGACCTTGTCGTCTCAGGCAACGAAGTAAAGTTTGTGAGGTCGTCGTCGACCTCTACAGTAGAGATTGTTAGAAACTATCGTGTTTGACAGGTTTCAAGGTTCAAGTGCTATACCATGGAACGGTGTCACCTGATTGGTTGATTACCGTGCGACGTGACATGTGAGACCACGACGGGACGATCGACAGATAGGACTGTGAGAGGCGGAAGCCATGTGACAGGATGTCACATGGGACAGGGAGAGACGGACACCATGTGTGACTTGACATGGTCAAGTTGTAGTTGCCGTTTCTGGTCATACATATCGTAGTGTTGATGGAGGTAGTTCTGAACACTCAATATATCTTACTTTTACTCCCTACCTCTACTGCACAAGTGCTCCTACGTCTAAAAGGTTATGAGCCCAACTAAACGTGACGACGGTGCGGCTAAACGAGCTGCACACGTCGTGGTGGTCGACGACAAAATCAAGAACGGCGACTCCCATTTTGAAGAAAAAGTCGGCAGCGCCATTGGCGGCGATAAACCAAATACTGATTATGCTTGATGAACTCTCGGAAAGAATACATCGGATGGAGGTCTTTCAGAGAGAGCAAAGCAACAAACATTGGGAGGACTCACCCGGGTCGAGTGTCGCCAGTCGCGAGAGGGAGGTCGGGGCAGGTTTGAAACTCCGGACCCTGGAGCACACCCCTCCTAAGGAACCTTCGAATGTGTCGCCAGCTACCTACTTCGGCGTCCGACGACAAAAACAGGCAGGTGTTACGATACCCCCTGCAGGATACGCAGGCCCGGCAGTCAACATGGGTTAAACACCCGACCTTGGCGTATACAGAACGGGTTTGCCTGCGGGATACCATCATGGCATGGGTATCCCCAACCGACAATATGTGCACCCAGGGCATCCGAGAATAGGCATGCCAGACGCACAGCAACGGAAACTCGCGCTGCATTTTTTAGATGGAAAGGAGCTCTACCACGGCCTTGGTTGTGGATTCATGGAGTGGGAAAAGGAATTTTTCGACAAGTCGGATTTGCGGAACGTGCATGTGGCTTTGTGTGGCCGGAGGACATCAAGGTTGATGTCCTAGGCCAGCATCTAGCTGGAAAAGCACAAACCTACTATCGTCGTCAGGTGGAAACATGGTGGTTTGAGATTCAAACCCTCAGCACGCGATGCAGAGGCTATTACAGACCTTCACGACGAAGATCTCACCGGCACAGAGCATGAAGCTGTTCACGGCACCCAAGGCATCTCATCAAAACTGGACGGACCATTTTCTATACTTAACGGCCGTCAGTGATGCCTGTGGGGGTGCAGACAGTCTTGTGCTTGACAATGTTGTTCACTATGCTGACCCACACATGCGAACGACGATGTTGTCCAGATTGGACATCCATCGCACTGACTACCTGCGGCAAGCAGAAGAGTTGGCACAATTTGCTCGATTGACGGAGGTAGACGCTCACCCGAAGAATTTTGGTCTCGACGTGGTGAACGCTGTCGAGCTTGAGAAGGAGTTAAACGACAAGCCCAAACCAAGATCATAACCCCTACAGACCGATTCCCGGACTTGCTTTAAATGTGGAGAAGTGGGACATATTTGGTCGCGGTGCCCGCAATTGAAGAAGAAGTCCTCAGGTGCGAACTTTGTTTTCACATTTAGTCATGGTCCGAATCGCTCGCCTGGTCAATGGATTCTCGACAGTGGTTCGAGCAGACACTTGGTCAATGGAACGAGTTTGCTCACCGACCCTATAGATTGTCGAAGTGAGTGCATGACGGCCGCCACTGATGGCAGCGTACTGCCGATTACCCTGCAAGGGACCGTGGACATCCAAGTTGTTGCACTTGGAGTCGTGAACACAGTGAGACTCCTCAATGTTCAGTACGCGGAGAACCTCGATCGTAACATCCTTTCATTCGGATTGCTTGAGGCCAAAGGTTGCGTGCTAGAATATCGAGGAGGGAGACGTGTGTTGTCATCTGGCATAGGCGGAATGTCCATAATGGATGTGGAATGTCGCAACAACGTCTTGGTTGTCGCTGTGACGAAGCGCAGCGATCGTAATCCCAAGCCACCACGAGAGACATTGATGACTTTCATTAATCCACCTAAACATGAGTTTGTCTCGGACGTTCAGTGTGGTACCTTAATGGACTTTCATCGGCGCCTAGGAAATCTTTGCTACGACACGATTGTCAAAATGTCCAAAGACCCGAAATCTGGTATACGATTGACAGATTCGATACGTCAAAAGTGTCGGCCTGTGCCAAGGGAAAGCAGACGAAGAGAGTTCAGTCGAAGAGAGACACGGGCATGAATTGACCTATCGACGTGATCGGGGGTGTCATTTGTTCGGATCTCAAGGGTCCCATGACCCCCCCCCCCCCGAGATCGTTTGGGAAATCGGTAGATGATTAATTCATTGACCAACGATCAAATTATTGTCGAGTGTTCTTGGCCAAATAGAAAGATGCAGCCGCGTTGAAGTACAAAATGTTCCAGTTCATGGTGAGCTTCGATCGTGAGTTCGATTGCAAGATTCATGTCTTACGCACCGATGGAGGTGGCGAATATTAGACGCTTGAATTTTTTTGCTCATCGGAAGGCATCTCGCGTCAAGTACGTAAGGCGAGGAATCAAGCGAGCAACGGCAAGGATGAACGGATGCATCGCGCCATCAAAAACATTGTGCGGAGCATGATCTTTGCATCAAAATTACCAATCACGAATCGGGGCGATGCTGCAGAGTACGCTTCGTACATACTTGACCGAAGTAAGACCAAGTCCAACCCTGAAGGTGCATCTTCCCTGGAGACTCTGACGAATAAGGCTCCCGTACTGACAGACATCGTAATTTTTGGATCGACATGCACTGTACTAAGAGACCCAACAAATAAATCACTCGGTGAGCGAGGGAAGGCGGGCATCATCATTGGGCGAGGGAGCGAAACGAAGGGATACAAAGTGTACATCCCAGTGGTCGTGGTGACCCAATACGTTAAAAGCGTTGAAGCACCACAGGATGATTAAGATGGAAGATAGATTTATTCTGACCCGGTTCAACGTCAGGAGGATCCAGTACATGATCGTCGAGCGGGTGCACGAGATCGTGGAAATGGTGTGAAGGGCAGAAAGAAGTGTCGGAAGCAGACATAGACCAGAGAGCGTCATGGCACAAGGTCCAAAACGTTAAGGCAAACAAAAATGGCCGAAGCCGATATCTCGGTTGGCAGTTGCGATGTGGTTAATGCAGTCATCGAGCAAGATCCGAAACACTTTGGTGAGGCGATGAAGAGTAAACATCGCAACCAATGGCAAATGGCCATGACCGGAGAACTGGACGCACTCAAGGCAAATGACGTCTGGGAGATCGTTGTGCCACCAGGAAATGCACATGTTCTACACAACATTGGGTCTACAAGACAAAGACCGACGCGAAAGGGGACATCGAGCGGTACAAAGCTCGTTTGGTGGTTTGTGGAAACGAACAAGTGTTCGGAGTGGACTATACCCTCACGTTCGCAGCGTTCATGGACTTAGGAACGGTAATGCTGATCCTGGTGCTTTTGAGACGCTGGAAGGTACCGGCGCGACACGGTGATGTACCTAATGCGTACGTCAAGGGTGAAAAGGAGGAGCACCTGGATATCTACATGAAGGTGTCGAAGGGGATGACAGTATAGGAGAAAGAGATGAAGGACCTAAACGCAAAGACTCCAAATGACCTAGCGTTGCTGTTCAAGAAGTCGTTATATGGACTTAAACAGGCTGGGCGGCTGTGGAGCAAACTACTTGACTTCAAGCTACGACAAAGCGGGTATCAGCAATGTACCACTGATATGCGTCTATATTTTAAGTATAAGGGCAAGACATGCACGGTGGTCGGCGTCTGCGTGGACGATCTGTTGGTCACGGGCACCGAACAGAGCGCTGTGGACGACTTCTTTAAAGACATGGTCTCACTATCGATCAAGGATTTGGGGACTGTCAGCAAGTTGCTCGGGCTACGAATTGAGCTCGACGACTCGAACGGCTGTGTTCTGAATTAAGAACCGACTATCGACTTGCTGTTGAGGGACTTCGGGATGGAGTCGTGCAATGGGGTTCGCACCACTATCGGAGACGAGTGCAACATGGACGACGAAGAGGACGCTGAGTACCTACCAGCAAGAAGAGCGAAGGGTGACCCCAGTGTGAAGTCCTTTCAGTCGCTGGTGGGAAGCCCGCTATGAAATGCAAGATGCACACGCCCAGACATTTGTTTTGCAGTGCATAAGACAACAAGACCGAATCACAAGCCGACACTCAAGGGTTGGAAGACCGCGAAGCGCATCATGCGATACCTGATGATGTCCAAGAATTTGAAGCTGCACTTGGATGGTGCTGGACATGTGTCAGAGGATGCACGGGTCGAATGCTGGAGCGATGCCGAATTTGCCGCGAGAAAGGCCGACCGTAAGTCAATATCAGGGTGTGTACTAACTGTGGATGGTGCAGTGGTTCTGTGGCTGTGCAAGAAGCAATCGGGTGTATCGCTGAGCACTTTGGAGGCTGAGTTTATCTCAGCGTCGCAAACTGGTGGGGAGCTGCTTGGCATGAAAGAACTACTGAGCGAATTGAAGCTACGCGTACGTGAGCCCATGCCGATGTGTATTAATAACCAAGCGGCGATCAAGCAACTCGATTCAGAGAAGAGCACCTCGAGCGCCAAGCACGTAGACACACGTCACAAACTTATATGCCATCACGCACAGAAAGGGACTTTGGTGCCAAGGTTTGTGCGACAAGGATATGCTAGCAGACATACTGACGAAGTCGTTGCCGGCACCAAGAATGGAGGATTTAAGGTCCATGCTCAAGTTGGACACCACACGACTAACACCGAGGAGGAGTGTTAGAAACTATCGTGTTTGACAGGTTTCAAGGTTCAAGTGCTATACCATGGAACGGTGTCACCTGATTGGTTGATTACCGTGCGACGTGACATGTGGGACCACGACGGGACGATCGACAGATAGGACTGTGAGAGGCGGAAGCCATGTGACAGGATGTCACATGGGACAGGGAGAGACGGACACCATGTGTGACTTGACATGGTCAAGTTGTAGTTGCCGTTTCTGGTCATACATATCGTAGTGTTGATGGAGGTAGTTCTGAACACTCAATATATTTTACTTTTACTCCCTACCTCTACTGCACAAGTGCACCTACGTCAAACAGAGATTCATGCCGCGCGGTCCTTCAGATCACCCTGGGGTGATCTGCGAGTGCTGTGACTCAGTTTGAACTCCTTATAGGACCCGCACCCCTCAATACATTTGGGGCTTCCCGGCTTGTAGGGCCTCCGGACGGCACTGGCCGCTCCTTGGTGGTTGCTCCTCTCTATGGAAGAGGAATCTTTGCCCATTTGATTTCAGTTACAGATGTGTCAAATATATGTCATCGGTCGCATTTGTTATCGACGGCGTTCCCGAGCAGTTATCCACCACCTTTCTCATATTCGTCTCTTTGGATCATCAATAACATCAACGAGTACCTTTCACATACAACGATGTAACTACACTTTCACTTTAGTACACGACGCACAACTCATTCTCAAGTCGTCCACCACCTGAAATGGGTGTATGTGTAGATTCTTCAGAACTTAATTCAGCTCTATGGACTAATTTACTCAAGGGCGATCTCCACGGCTTGTTTCTGGACGTAATGCGTGCCCGATCGCGAAGTTATTCGTGAGTGTGCGTTATGTAACGGAGGCACTCCGTTACACGATATTCTACAAAATGTAATCATCAAGTATGATGATTACGTTAGGGCAAACACATTAATCTCACATTATTATCCTGACAGATAATATTGCTTCGCAGATGTAACACACTGCTCCGTGGTTGATACAGGATCACGATATTAACTGATAGAAGCTATCTACGACAGAAGCACGCAATGAGTGGAGCGTGGCTCATTACAATGCATGTATGTGTTTAGATATAGTTCAATTAAGTTAAAATGGATATGCTGAAAGGATCAACTAAACTAAATTCAGCTCTACTTTTTCGTTTACTATGTACTCTTACTGCATGCAGAAGTCTACCTCTGTACGCACATGTACATGGGGTATTCGGACGCACATCCACTGTCGGTAGTGCAAGGTTTACTTATTTAGTTGTATAAAGTGACGTCACACCCCTTTATTTGGGTGCCACGTCCCTTCACGTACACTCGTACGAGCACAGAAAGGTAATCTGCTCAAATTGCTAGTTTGAGTAAAGGCAAAAAGAAAGATGTATTTAAAACGGTCAAGCTATCAATATAACCCCTGTCTCGTGCTAGATTTGGATGGCAAGTTTGATGTCATCCTCGGTCTGCCATGGCTTAAAAGATACCAGCCATGGATCAGCTGGCAGCATCGATCCGTGAAGATGCCTGCCGTTTGTTTATCATATGGCCATCTGATGAACGTCTCGGAGTTTCCACAAGCGTGTGGGTGTGCTACGAACGGTTGCGATGGCCTACTTGTGTACTTGTGGTACGGTCGTTAGCACGACTGCAAAGATTACAGTGAGAAGGCCGCTACACTGTGGAATTCGCTTCCGGCACCTGTGTAGAGACACAGGCTGCGCCGAAGGTTCACCACTCAAAGAGATCGAGTGGACTGGAATGCGGATGCACACCAAGCAGGGTGCATCAAAGAAGAGCTATGATTCTTATTCAGGATGAACACCATGTTGAAACGAGATCGACTAACAGAGAGTTGATCGTAAAGAAAACACGATCGACTGAAAGAGAGTCGATCGAAGAGGCCATGACTGTGGTAGTGCTCCCACAGTCAGAACACGTATTGAAAGAAAGTTTCAGCGTTTATGAGAGTGATATTTTCGGAGAGAGCTATGTTAAGGGTGTGTTTTCTCAACCACCTGAGGATGTGTTTTTCCAGGAAATCACGTAGTCAGTTAATGTCTTGGTGAATGACGGATCAAGTGTAGTCGCTTGTACACTTGATCTGGTTACGCCCCCGAATTCAGCTTCGGAGGTAATCAAGTTGCCAACACTAGAATCTAAAAGATTCTTGCGAGATCTGCGTAGTGACAAGATCAAGCAGATCTGCGTACTCGTCACAGAGGAAGGGTAAGTCGCCGATATTCGGTCGGCACAAGTGTTTACTGTGAGCGAACGGGTTCTCAGTAGCTCATCGATGTACGATGAGAAGGTCCGGATTGAGCGATACACGTCTCAATATTGAGAGTCTTTGAAGAAAATCCTTTGCATAAGAATTTGATCGAATCAGAGATGTTTTCCCGAATCTGTGCCGTGAGAGTAAAAACGGCGTACGTCCTGATCCAAAAGATCCAGGCGAACAGAGAATGAGCTGTGCCAGTTTACGTCAAGTGACTTCGAAAGTTCCTTGGTTTAGCGGCGTACTTTCACAAGTACTAGCGCAACTACGCCGAGATGATCGTACACCTCTCTTGTCTGCTAAAGAAAAACGAGAGGTGGTCATAGAGTAATGAGTGTCAGCACTCCTTCGAAGGTATCAAGAAAAGCTTGATACAATTCCTGTGTTGGCGATTGCATATTAGGACAGGCCATTCCATGTGGTATGTGACGCCAGCCATTTTGCGGTCGGCTGCGCGTTTATGCAGTATGAATCAGACGACGTTGAGCGCGTCGTCTGTTATCAATCGCGTTAGCTGCAAGCAGCTGAGCGTAACTAAGCAGTGCATGACAAGGAACTCCTTGCAATGAAATATGCGCTGGCTAAGTTTCGGGTGTATATCTTAGGAGATAGGCCCTTCATCATTTATATCGACCATGCGTCGTTACGCACGGCCGTAGACAGTCCACACCTCTCGCAAACAAATGGCGAGGTGGCTGTCTTTATTCGCGGAGTACAACTTCTCCGTCGAGTGTAAACCAGGACGACTTGATGTCGTCGCTGATGCTCTTTCGCGTCGGCCCGATTTCGAGCCGACTGCTTAACACCACAGGAAGGATGATCCCGCTGTGCAACACTATCAGTGATTGTTCCGTCGTCAAGTCTGCTCGAAGACGTTCGGAAAGCATACACAGAAAATGAGTCTCTTTTGCAGTTAATGGATTATGTATCCAATCCATGCAGTCAAGCTTTGAAAATCTTGTCGTCTCAATACCCCTCTTCAACCGAACAATATTAGGTTCATAATGGACTGCTTTACTATCAGCAGTCAAAGGCGACACCTCGTGTCGTCGTTCCGGCTCATAATAATTTTCGATTTCGTATATGAGTGTCACGATGCCCTTAATAGGTGGGCATCGCGGTAGAGGAAAGACTTTCCTCACGGTAGGTCGTGACTTCTACTGGCCTCCCTAGTATAATTTTGTGCGCAAATACATTCACGCTTGAGAAGTTTGTCAACAGGTAAAGCCTAGTCCTTCATCCCGCGCACCCTTGCAGCATCTACCGATTTCGGCAGAGTGTTGGAAGTCCGTATCGATGGACGTCGTCTTTGGGTTTACTAAAGAAGTTCACGAGAATACTGGTATTCTTGTGTTTGTTGATCGGTTCAGCAAGATGGTACATCTTGTTGCTGTACCGGAGTCAATCACAGCCCAGGAATGTGCTCGAGTCTTCATTGATACTATCTTCCGACTTCACGAGCTACCCCATGAACTCGTGTCTTACAGGGACACCCACTTCACAGCGAAGTTCTGGCAATACGTGTTCCGTTCACTTGAAACACGTTTATGAATGTTGGCTTCTGAACATCCTGAAACAATGGTCAGACAGAACGCGTCAACCGCGTCCTCGAAGATATACTTCGAGGATACGTTCACTAGTTTGCGAGTTGGAGTGAGTTCTTGTCGATGGCGGAATTCGCCATGAGCAACTCGGTGCAAGCGTCGACAACGCATACACCGTTCTTCGTAAATGGCCTACGCCATCCACGTTTGCCCGCCTTCTTAGAGTGTGACTCTAGTTTAAGGGGGGGAACTCTCGAACAAAAACCGATCTGGTTCTTGCTCATCACACGTTGACAATGGTGTCGACGTGGTGGATGCCGATGTCGATGTAATCGATATCGATGATGATGATGACGACGATGCTGGCATATTCAGCATCGCCAATGATTGCCAAAGTGAGATCGATGACACCCTCACTGGTGAAGACAACGCTCTTTTAGCAGTGCACACGAAGCACACTGCTGTTAACAAGGACGAGTCAGCAGAGGGATTTCTACTGACTCACGAAGCGGTTGTCCGCCTCGTTCAAGACTCTTTTGCAGATGCAACAGGTAAGCAGAAATGAAACGCAGAAAAACATGAAAGAGCTAACGCTCTTTCATTCAATGCCGGAGACTTAGTTTCAATGTCAACAGTAAATCTACCAAGACACCCAGTGAAAAACGTGGGCAGCAGTAAACTAATGCCCAAGTACATCGTTCTATTTCGTGTATTACACCTCAAGGGCAACACATAAACGATTGAACTGCCTCGTATGATGCGTACGCACCCTACGTATTACGTTAGGAGTCTCCGCACGTACTATCAGTACGAGAAGTTTCGAGAGGCGATGAGCACCTCCACGATCAAGAACCAAGACCACCTTCGAGTGGTCCCGTTTCAAGCCAATCTTTTCAATAAAGCGAAGCGACCTACTCACGCAGCTGAGCGATGTCCTGATGAGCTGCAGTCAGCTCGTCACGAAGGGATCAAATGGAACGTTTGTTCTCAAGCAGCGCAAGCGCAAACATGGCACAATCGTTCGAACGATCGTACGCTAAGGATTTGTAATTGTCCTTTACAATGCCATGAAGCTCATAACGCCGGGCCCGATCACGAGCCAAGTCTTCGTGTAACTGATCCGTCACGCGGTTCAATTTTTGGACATCGAGCTTATCCGACCCTCGAGCCGGATCAGGTG